AGGCGGGGGATCTTTTGACCACCTGAGAGTATTATCAATTTCTCAAGAAGTGCTCTTCTGCGTGGAGTTAGCATTAGTGCTGTGCGATACTTAATTTTACTGTTGCTAGTGTCATTGTCGTTATTTGGTATATTGTTGATGAGAAGTTGAACAAGTTGCCGGCAGTTCGCTGGAGCCAGTGAGTCGCCCGACCTTGCTAGGCGGCAGATCCGGCCTTCACTACAGAGAGGCACGCGAAGAATGTGACAGTCGCCCCCATTACCCCGGCCCATCCTCGCACTTGCTATATATGGCGTTGAGGGGTGGGGGTCGGTACAGCAGTAGACCAATCTGCCGGCAGATCGCCCATTTCCTCGGAATAATTCAGATTTATAGCAATTTGTAATAACATGTTAACTTTTAAACATTTTGGACATAGTGTAATAATACATTAATTTATTTTGAAAACGGCTTTCAGCTAGAATTTTAATTATTTCATTCCTTGTTATAACGGAAAGGAGATCACATTTATAAATTAAACAGTAAATTATTTTTAATCAAGAAATACTGACACTCGAACTGCATTGTCGGTTTCCGGATATATATTAGAATTTTTAGTATGATTTGAGGTTTTCACAGCGGTGAGTATGAAGATTTCTATCTTCTGGGTTGTTGCGCTATGTAGATGAATCACCCTGATGACGGAGGCAGTATGACCTCTGAAACGTTGGTAAACATCTACCAGACTACACAGTGCAACAACCCAGAAGACAGAAATCTTCATACTCATCGCCCTGATGATGGAGGCAGTATGACCTCTGAAACGTTGGTAAACATCTACCAGACTACACAGCGCAACAACCCAGAAGACAGAAATCTTCATACTCATCGCCCTGATGATGGAGGCAGTATGACCTCTGAAACGTTGGTAAACATCTACCAGACTACACAGCGCAACAACCCAGAAGACAGAAATCTTCATACTCATCCCCCCAGACTACACAGCGCCACAACCCAGAAGACGGAAATCTTCATACTCATCGCCCTGATGACGGAGGCAGTACGACCTCTGAAACGTTGGTAAACATCTACCAGACTACACAGTGCAACAACCCAGAAGACAGAAATCTTCATACTCATCGCCCTGATGATGGAGGCAGTATGACCTCTGAAACGTTGGTAAACATCTACCAGACTACACAGTGCAACAACCCAGAAGACAGAAATCTTCATACTCATCGCCCTGATGATGGAGGCAGTATGACCTCTGAAACGTTGGTAAACATCTACCAGACTACACAGTGCAACAACCCAGAAGACAGAAATCTTCATACTCATCGCCCTGATGATGGAGGCAGTATGACCTCTGAAACGTTGGTAAACATCTACCAGACTACACAGCGCAACAACCCAGAAGACAGAAATCTTCATAGAAATTTTTGCCTCTAGAATACAAGTAAGTTACGTATCAGTTGCTGAAAAATTCTGGGACAGAATTTTTTTTTGTGTGTTATTAAACGGCAAATCCATGCACAAAAGCCACTGATCTACCTATTATCTTGCTGACCTGAACTCTCACCAGAAATAGAAATTTTCAGCATAACAGCGTTATCCCATATTAAGCATTAAGGCCAATGAGCCTTTAAGTGGTCTTATATTATTGGCTACTTTTCCATAACCATATAAGCGACATCTTCATCCGAAACAAAATGCAAGGAATGAACACGTTTCCCGATCAGTGCAAGTGTTTTCAGCCAAGGAGAGTACTTGGTAAGCCTGAAACGAGGGACTTTGAAAACAATTACGATGAGCATAATGTAGGTATGAGACGAGGAAAATTTGTAGTTGTCGCTACACACATCCCCTCCAGGATACGTACTACACACTTCCTTTTAGTTTCCGTTGCTGCTAACAGTCGAGTCATTCCATTGAGTGGCGTGGATTCATTCACAATTAGGAAGAGGTAACGCTCTTACGCACCTTTAGGACATTTTGATTCTGAACACGTTTCTTGTCTCTGATGAATATCGTGTTGTATTTCAGTAAAGTTCGCATACATACTCTTAATGCAAGAATGGGAAAATTTCAAGGTAAAATACTAATGACATACGTTGAATTCTAGAGTGACGTTAAACTTATTTAGGGTAGTTGGTCACTTGAGTAAGCTGAAACTCGCTGGAAAGATTTCAGTATTGTTGTAACTTGGAACTTTGAGAAAATTCAATGATACGATAACTTAAAACGTACCGAAAAGAATTCATTGGTAGAGAAATGTGATATTTGTTTCATATTCGAGGTTGTCGCGGTGGTGAAGAGACTTTTCGAGACGTGGCATAACTTTATGTTGAGCTTTATATAGACATAATTCTGCCAGTCGGTAATTAATTAAAGATTTAATGTGGGAAGTTCACACATCCACAGAAATGTAGACGAGGATGCAACACTCACAACTGTTTCTTCTTCTTCTTCTTCTTCTTCTTCTTCATTTTCAGGGCCTGTACTTAGAATCTCGTTCTACCTCCGCAACCTATTCTCATGTTTATTATTAGGCCCACGAGTTTTCTTGCAATAAATATATAATTTTAAAGTATTTAATTTAGATAATTTAAAACAAAAAAATGAACTATTTTTTATCTTTATTGTAACTTGCGAGTTTTATTGTTGACAGTGATAGATATTCAGTACGAAATTACGAAAGATGGAATTATATATTTTATTCTACTGGCACTGTTAAATAACAGGCAGATCAGAGCAGAAGATTGTTTGTAAACGAGATATTTCGTCAGTACGAACAACCGATGTCTTGAAGTAAATACGTAACACTTGGCTTAAAATGAAGATGCATGCTCTGTAATAATGATTATTAGGAAGTATAAAAAGATAGGAAGGAGCGTGTAACATGCGGGGGATTGAATAATACGGATAGAATGCAGCTCGGCCTGACCTCCAGACTCGCCGGAGTGTCCACAATGACGCCTGTCTCTCTCCTCCCACCCTTCCTTAATTCTTAATGTAGGCCTATTTATGGTTTTTTATCTCCAATTCCGTCTTTATGTCTTTGTTGTCATGTATGTTTGAGAAGCTGTGCTGTGTATACATACAATTACATATGTGTTTAAGTTGGAATGTTTATATGCATGCCAATCTGCAAGAGTCGAAAGTTACTACATAATAGACCTCAAGGCTTTATGGTAGCTAAGGAATGTTTAAATATTTCGTCAGCTTGATCATGATGCTTTTTTTAAAACTGGCCTTAAGATATCTGCTGAGTTAATGAACAGGATTTGCTGTATTAGGGAGTTGCCCTGTTGTGTCGTTATTGAGGTTCACGTGGATCTTGCTATGTCTCCCTGAAATTGTTCCACTACGCTACTGTGAATTTGAATTACGGGTTTTCATAACTAATATTGCTCATTTGGTGTTTATGTTGCAGGTACATGTTGTTGCGGATACACATATATTTTTGGTAAAATATTTAAAACAGTATTTTAAGTAACTTTTGATGTTTGGGTATGTTAGCCGTCAGAAGCGGAAAGTTTATGTTAACTGTGTTAAGCCGCCTATCACCTTCAAAAAGAAAAGTCTTACTGAAGTGGTTGAGTGGTACTCCACAGACGCAGTAGATCCGATCAGATAAAATGCATTGTTAGGCACGAATTTTTAGCATATCTGTAAAGTATTTTAATCAGCGTGAATAATTGATAATTATATAAAAATATTTAATTTAGAAGCTCGTCTCGCTACACTGCGCCTACGGCCACTTAGAAATGGCCCCAATCGTAAAGCAAGTTAAGTAATTGCCTAAACAGCACTAAACAGTTAAGGCCATGTGTAACATTTCGTTGCACGCTGGTTCCCGCGTTGATGAGTTGTTAGCCTCCCGCCCGCCCAACCTTCAAACTGAAGAACCGCTTGTCGGCTGCCCTCTGCTGTTCATTCAGGAAATTCGTATAAACCCTCCGTATCTGGAGACTTCCTCTTTGCTCAATCTAAGAACACGCCATACAGTGAAATGCGTCTTGCAGCTGAACTAAAAATGTTGTTTTATGTTCGTTTTTGTTATTGGCTTCTTGCTGTTGGCAAACACGTAAATAAATTAATTGAATTGAATTGAAAACCCCTGCAGCAAAGAGTTTTCAGTATTTGTCTTCATCAAAATACCGAAGCTTTACTTGACAGCACTCACGAAGCTGCTTGTGAAGACGGAAGCAGGTAGGCACGTTACGTTGTCCTACCGGCCAGCCGACGCCGCTGGTGTGCAACATAAACTCAATCTCTCCCTCTCCAATCATATCTTTTCTCTCTTCTTTGTTATTTCGCCTCCTTCTCTTCTTCGTTGTCCACTCACGCAGAGTTTTGAAGCAGCAAAAAGTCTTGACTTGCTATTTCACATAATAATTATTGAAATATGAAAACGTGTTCTGTGAGCAACTTGCGTCACAGAATACGTAATTAAAATAAAAATAGCAGAAATGCTGCAGGAACTGGAAAAAAGTGGAAAGGGATGCTGCTTGCTGGGGTACGCCAAACTTCGAAAGGTGTTCCTTAATGTGATGTAAGATGTGTATAGTTCCAGGTAACGTTATTTCTAATGTCTTTCTGCTGTCACTGACAGTATATCACGAAACACAGCGGCCGAGTCATTAACACTCTTTTCGTATCCTGTATTGAAGATCTTCACATAGCGGACAATCCAACAGGACTCACCGCCATGAAAATCGCAAATCCTTCATGTCCGCTATATTTTCGCCATCACATTGGCTGAATTTCTTCTCGAGGTCTAAAAAGGTTTGACTTAATTCATTACATTACCCTTCTTTTTCTACTGTTGGTTGTCTCTGGGCTCTTTTTGTTGCAGAATATTTTTGTGCTGTTGGGAACTTTTACATTCGCATTAATCTGAAGCAGTAAATGTATAAACACAATGTTTTGTGTTCTACCCGACAAATTCTGTGAAACGTAAGGTAATTTAATTTTGCTAAGTTAGCGATCGTGCATTGATGGTACTCCATGGTATCTTCTGTCCAAAGATGGCGTTGAAGGCAGCTCCAGCACATCTTTGGAATCGATTTTTCAGCTGCGCGAGTATTTCATAGTTGTGGTAGGCTACGTCTGTAAATAGAAGCTAGTTAAAAACGGGACAGTTTACGCAAGCGAAGAAAATGAATTTTCTTCATTATTAAGACGTGAAAATGAAATCAGTATAGCTACATTGCTATTTTGCTGTATTCTGATTTAAATAAACACCTGTGACTTCATTGCTATATTTATTATACGCTAGGACGTCAAAATGACATTGCCTATGAGTGAAGTATTCACTTCGTTCCAAGATTATCTCAATACAGAGCAAGAATTACGTGAGGTTAGCATACTTATTGGTTTGTTACATTTTGTGTATAAAGTATGAGGTTTTCTAAAGACCTTTCCGTTGCATATATTATGTAGTGTGAATTATAGAATAATTACTGAATAATTTACATTGGAAAGTGCGGAAGGAAGTGGTCGTGGCCTAATTTAAGGTGTATTCCGGTATTTGCCCGAAAGGACTGCAGGCACCTCAGTTATGATTTCTGGTCTTCAGACCGAGATTTCAACCAGAAACAAAAAAATATGAAACGGGAGTGATAACCACTTTATGCTTGGTGATTAAGAGTTATGAACCCAGTATAAAAGAGGAATGAGCATATGTTATTTGTTTATTTTTTATACAGGAAATTCGGAACATCGTGAAAGATATTGAACAAACAGCCAGAGAAATTCTGACAACACTTCAGAGCATTCACCATGAAGGTGGCATACAGGAGAGTAAGTGTGCTTTCTTCAGTTTAGTAATTGGTGTATTCATCTTCCATACTAGTTCTGTAGAGTCTCAACTGATTTTACTATTATTCCCTTGTCAGGGAAGTTAAAAATATATCTCTGATTGATGAATATCAACCCATACTTGTACCTGGATTGTTACTTGCATGGGCTTGCAGTGTGAGTGATAATTGGTACTAAACAAAAATGGTAATGGAAGATATTAAGCTATATTTTATGTTGTAGAAGAAATTTGCAATAAGAAAAAATTTTAAATTATATTTTTCTTTTCCAGTATAGGCCTTATGGTCTGTTATGGCCATTACATAACAGTTTCCGTCCATCTTTTGAGGGTTAAGCACAAACATCTCTTTCCTTTTGGTTGATATCCAAAAATAATTTTTGGTATCCTGCTTGAAATTATTCTGAGTGCGTTCTTTCTGGTTTTCTGAATACTGTATTATAAAATCTATTATTGGTGTAATGTGTAGTTGCTTTTCCAAATTGTCCATAAGTTCTTCATTTCGTTTGTGATCAAAAAGTATGTAACCCACAGTTCTTGTTATGAAACATATTTCTGCTGATATTAATCTTTTTCAATCATTACTTCAGATAGTCCATGATTCAGTACCATAAGTGAGAATTGATTTAAATTTTAATACTCAGGTTTAATGATGGTAATGTGGTTGAATAGTGTTATAGATAAAGTGATATAAGCATATGTTAGAAATAAATATTATACAAATACCATTGTGTCATTATATGTCTAAACATGATAAGTTCAAATAATATGTATCATGGTATAGTGCCTGATAACAACAACATTTTAAACATACCTCACTGTGTTGTTATGAAATATTGCAGTGTGTTGACTGACATTAATATATGTACACTTATCTGAATGCAATTTAAGACATATGCAACAGTCGCAGTTTGAACACATTATGATGCTTTGGTTACAACATTACAACAACAACAACAACAAAGTGGAACATTTTTTTTGTTTCTCATCCTATACATTCAATGTTTAAACACACTTGGCTCTTGCAGTTTAGAATTAATTAGATACTTTGAACCTGATAAATGTGCACAGGCTCATTGAATAGGATTCAGGAAGGCCTCTATCATTATGCAGTAGCAGCAGCAGGCAATACAAAAGTATGCAGACAATCATCCATGCCATGACCAGGATTTCAGTACATGATCCCAGTATTTACTGCTGCTAAGACTAGCTGAATATTTAAGTAACTGAATATAATGTAACCATAAAGATCTTAAAGTGGTCAAATTTAACACAGGTATCAGTTAACCTATATTAATGGCACTTCTTAGTCCCCGCTAGCTGTCAGAAAGCAAGAACATTATTTGGTGGCATCAAAGAGGGCTACAAGAAGTTAGCAGAAAAGATACCAGCAGACCATTATTATCGGTATCATGATCACTGGCGATTTGTGAGCCAGCGTGCTGCATTTCTTGCTTCACTCACCATCTACCTGGAATCGGGGCAACTAGCATCCAGGGAAACTGTTGCAGAAATCATGGGAGGTAGGTTCATAGGAACTTACTGCTCAGGTTATTCCAGAAGTTACTTCCCATTCATATATTTGACATATTGTATTTGTACAGTTGATGAACATTTACCTTCACATTCCATGGTCAGTGATAATCAAAAACAGTATAGATTCTGTATGATCTGTTGTGATGTGTTTTAGGATCTCCTTTTACACTTTGTGATATGTTAGCAGGTCACAAGCACCTTACACAAGACTGTGTTCCATTTTTACAGTGAAAGTTCAGAGAGATGAAGGATTTCATCTGGACTTGGAAGACTATCTCATGGGTCTACTGCAGCTTTCATCAGAGATGGTATCTTCTCTCTGATTATAACTTAGTTTCGAAAGAGTAAAATGTGGGAAAAGACCAAAGACCACCCTGCTCTGTTTGTATTCTATAAGAATGCAATTAAATTTTAGAAATATTATTAGGTGATGGAACTAAACTATTATTGTGAAGTCATAAAGAGTTGCTAAATTCATGCTCTTTACTTATATGAATGCATTATGTAAAGCATAAAATTAATGTGGTCATAATCATTTTACTAGCTGTATGGTTTAATACTGAATTTGAAATGTTGGTAGTTACTATGTTGATAAAAAGATACTCTTCATTTTATGAAGCCATAAGGTTCACCATGTTCACAAAAGCCCACCGTTGGACTCCATCCTGAGGTAGCTGAAACAAGTCCACACCTCCACACTATTTTTCTTAGAGCCATTTTAATGTTATTCCATCTATATCCAATTGACCCAAGTGTGTTTACCTTCAGAATTTCCTTACCAAAATTCTGTATGCCCCTCCCATTTTATCCTCCTAGAATTAGCACTGTAGTAATATTAGGTGGAGGAATGTAAATTCTGGAGCACCTGATTAAAAGTATTTCTCTGAAGGCTTTCTTCCCATTAAACTGTCTTTGCCATCTCTCGAAACTTGCATTACAGTTTCTTTGTTTGAATAATTTTAGGTTTCTCTTTATGCCATTTGTTGAAATCCTTTTTATTTTTGTTTTAACCATTTCAAAAAAAATTCTTGCAGAAGGCTTAAAATTTGATCAAAATAAACTTCTGTTGTTCACATCATACTCCAATTGACCCTTTTATGTTCTTAAGCATTGAAACATGGTATACAGTTTCCCCCATGTTATGTCTTTGTTTATACTCTATCTCTTAAGACTTCATATCTTTAAGTTTTGCCAACCACCCAGTTGATAAAATTGAGTTAATAAACCGCAAGGAATTGTTGAAGTTGATCTAATTCAAAAGTATATTTATTAGATTTCAGAGTCTGATCATATTGATCACAGTCATTCTGTCTTGTCACCAAACAATACTTATCATTTTTAAATCAGTCAGTTAATATCAGAATCATTTTGAATCCTATTCTTATCACCCCATCTTGTTCCAGATGTATTCTCATTTACAGTACTGATACGAAAACGTTTTTGGAGAAATTATAACTCTGTTGAAAACACCAGAGTAGTAATAAAAATGTAGCTGTAAGATGTTGGAATCTACTGTTGTCCTTATCTTTACCCATTATTATAAGAAATATGTTGGAAATTTTTTTATACTCGTAACTAGTTGAATCATAACCTACAAGAAACACCATAATAAGAGGCAAGTAGCTAAGTCAAAAGGATTAAGCTGTGTATTGATTCAAGATTGAATGTTTTATCCATGAACCCAAAGAGCAGGAATCAGTTATTATGGTCCTCATAAAAAGAACAAAGAATTGGAAATATCAGTGTTTCAGATATACAAAAAGCCAGCCCCTGTTGGAGTGCATTCAGAATTCATTTTCAAGCTCATGAATTACAACCTTAGCTTTAACAATTATTTGGGAACAAAATTAGTATTTAGATTTGTAATTATGATATATGGTTACTTTTGGATTGGAATTCATACTGCAGCCTGTCATTTAAAAAATATTTGTCCAATATTGTAGATAGACAAGTAATGTGTGGAATGGTTATGCTTGTTACAGTCACGATTTGCAGTGAACAGTGTCACTTGCGGTGATTATTCCCGTCCACTCCAAATCTCCAGGTTTGTAGCTGAACTAAATGCTGGGTTTCGTCTTCTGAATCTCAAGAATGATTCTCTTCGAAAACGCTTTGATGCCTTGAAGTATGATGTGAAGAAGATAGAGGAGGTGGTTTATGACCTCACAATACGAGGTCTTAAACCTGAAACGAGTAGCACCAATCTCATGGGTGAAGGAGATATTTCAGAGAAAGCCTAACTGTACCTGGAAATATCAGCAAAGTATGTTTTCAAGGTGACTGTACTATGATATGTTCATTAAAATGATTTTTTTTTGTATCAAGACAAAATGTTGATAAATATTATAGACCATGTTTGGAGAGGTCTTGTGTTTGAAACTCAGCCTGGGGACTACCTATCTTTTTTGGTTTTCCTTAGTCTTTCCAGACAAATTCTGAGGTAATACAGTGCAATCTCAGTATAATGAGAATTTACTAAATTTGGACAAATTCTCATTCTAATTGGTACTGATAATATTTAAAAACAGTTAAGACACATGATCTTCCAGCCTGCCTCGTAACTTCTAGTTACGTGCCACAATATGGTACTAAGATTTAAAAATCTTTGTGCACTTAGATTAGTATTTATTCATTGTTCAAGTGGTTATGAAGGTATGAAAATAATTAAGAATAATTCAACATTCTCAGCTTCTTGAGCATTATCTGAATCAAATAGTTAGATTCTCATATTTACAACTGACCACATATTAGGATCACTTCTGTTCAAACAGGAAGTCCCATGCCCCATCTACTGCATGCCTATAAGTCCAGCCCACAGTTTACCCATAATTTGCTGCACATAGCTTATGAACATATATATGCTACATTACAGACTGGTTCTATGCTCTATGATTGGAATAACCCAACTTCACGTGGACATATTACTGCAAGCTTCATACTGAAGTTTGAGCACTTTTGTTTCATTGCCATAATTAGGACTGAACACTGTTTAACTTAAACAGCACAAAGCAAAAATATGAAGTTATATTTACTGGCTGGCTACAAAATGAAACAAGTAGATGTTTCCAAATGTATTTGCCATAATGTGTGTTAAAAGAATGAGTGGCAGCCAGCTGCATCGCAAGTTGTGCTTTGTTGTGACATCAGCCATTTCAGGTTCAGCCATGCACCTGGGCGGATCATGTAAACACGTGTTGTCAGAAGATGCATGTTGCTTCTTCCTGTGACAATAATAATCTGGAACCACCCAGTGATAGTTTGCTGTTATCATGTTGCCATGCAGACCAGAGCAGAAGACAGAAATATCACTCCTGTTACATTTTTTGTAGTTATTGACCTTATGTCAAAGAGCAGTATGACCATTGCTGCCTCCATCATCAGGGAAATCAGCAGAGTTTGCCTTCTCTTTAGAAAACTGGTTCATATTTTCTGTCTATTATGATATGCATCTCATAAAATGTTGCATATTGTATAATAAATTCTATTAAAACTGAAATTTTCTGTCTTCTTCGAGTTGAATTGGAGACTAGCTGTGTGTGGCCATCTTATGACACAGAATCAGACTGAATGATAACAATCAGCAGAGATATAAATGGATCATCATTTCAGTCAGCTGTTTTAACTCATGTTAACTTAAAGACACTGAAAGTTGACTTCAGTCTGCTTTTTCTTCATTAAGCTGTTAAAAATGTTGGTATATGAGAAGATATAAAACTTCTTACAGGGTACCTTGGTATCTCTTGTCTATGTCTAGCAATATTTCAGTGGCTGGTTGGACAGGAAGATGGCCATATTTTCTCCAGAACCTGCGACAGAATGTGGGAAAAAATTAGGAATGGTAGAGCATATGAAAAAAAACGAATTTAAGTTGACAGCATCAGATTTAGAATGAAATTTACTGTAACTGATTATTTATTGCATACTGTGGCGGCATTCTCTCAACACGTGGTACATACACGAGTTAATAAACTTCCGCGACAGGACCACCATCTCAAAAGGCGGTGGTATGATCTTTTCATGTACTTCGTCATGCCACTACACAATGTACTTTCAGTATATACAAGGCTGTGGGATATACATTTACGGTTAGCTGCTCAACCTAGTTTCACCGAGTCGCAGAACTTAAATTTAAAATCATAAACATATATTTAAACATTGTAAATGAATAATATATTACCAGGAGAAACTTCCTGAAATAGTATATCTGGTACAATTGTTTCTAAGCACTTTGTTAACTTTGGAATATTGCTATAAACTGCTACGTAATAGGACTTTTCTTCTTCAGTTGTCGCCATTCTAATTTAAATATGAGTCAAATCAGATACTTCAGTCCCTTCGTAGTGGTAGTTGCGAGGAATGTTAATGTTTTGTTGGTGGACAGTTGAATGAAGAAGCAACAGACACGTTATTTTCCCCATATTCCTTCATTTGTACATGATTGTATGTCTGTGTTACGTTTTTATAAATGATAAATTCTAACACTGGATAAGCCTCCAACAACATGCGTCAATTCCCGCGCATTGCATGTTGGTACCGAATTGTATGGATCCGCCATGATGTCCAAGAAAACGAGCTCTACATACAAGTTTGGAAGTGTTATTTTTAATATTGTGACTGAGTGTGAATGAATTGCCATAATGGGAACGAAATAAGGGTATCGTAGGTTTATTTAGTGCAGGGTATATACCCTCCGGGACCCTGCAAGGGCACGGTACTGTAGTTTTACCTGTCGTGGCCAATGTGTTCGTAGCCTGTCAACAAAAATGAGCAAGCTCTCGTTTCGGGCTCGGGCGCTGGACGCCTCAAAGCCCATGCCAATTTACATGTCTGAAGAACTACCAGATCTACCCGACTACTCGGCAATTAACAGAGCAGTGCCACAAATGCCAAGTGGAATGGAAAAGGAGGAGGAATGTGTAAGTTTTCTCACAAAGAGGGTAGTGTTAAAGCGTGATTGGTCAGCCATATTTGATTTTATACTTTGAAGTATAACCGCTAGATGGTAGTCTCATGTTTTGATGCATGTTTATTTTGATATTTTTACGTTGATTACAACGAAATTAAGTTGTATTGCACCATGTAGTGATAAATAAACATGATTTCTTCCCAGTACAACTGTTACAACAGTTGTCAGTGCCCTTTCATAGTAATTTGATTTTAAACTTAACCCTACTTTAATACCTACCATCCACTTTCACCCACAGAAGAACATAATCTTTTTAGTCTTTGCCTTTGTGCACAATTACTAATTTAAATAGTGTTGGGAATACATTAATTTATTTTTAGTTGGGTAGAAGTTGTATGATTTTATAATTGAGATGACATATAACTATAAAATTGATGATCCGGGGCATAAAAATCCCACTCCTGTTGCTGTGAGTTAAGTTATTAGAAATAATGCTACAGATAACAAACCATAATGAATTCTAGACTTTAATTAAAAATTATATAGAACTTATGGAGCATTTTTATGTCATGTACAGGAACACCATCTTCAGCGTGCTATTTGCACAGGTCTCATCATCCCCACACCTGAGGTTGTAGACTTGGCTGATGCAGAAGCATACAACAAGATTTATCCCCTCGACTACAAACTTCCGCGACAGCTCATCCATATGCAACGTAAGGTTAATTTATAAAATTAATTGAGATGATTAATAAAAATTGCACATGTTGAATACTATATATTTTTGTCTTTCAGCATTTGCAATGGAGCAAGACATCCCAGACTATGACATGGATTCAGAGGATGAGAAATGGGTTCATTCACAGGCCAAGAAGATGGACCTTTTGCCGTTGAAGGTACTGTGTCTTGTTTAAAAATTATTCTTTGTATGATAATTTCATTTGATATGTTGAAATTTGTTGGATGGTGAATATGAGTCAAGTACGTCATAAATATAAGATGTGTTTATAACAAATTATTATTTTTAATATATGACTTGAGTTAAATGTAAATGTGATTTGATTAAGTAACCTGTTGCATGTACCTAGAAACCTTGTTCTAGAAATTTGATGTATTATGACATCTTCTGCATTTCCAGCAAAGAGAAGTGTAAGGCAGTCTTTGACAGCTTTGAAACCTTAGGTAGTTTTCTTCCCTTTTGAGTTGTATATATGTGTAGGCATTTCTTCCAGTACGAATCAATCTCATCAGCATTAAAATCTGTTTGGGACAATATCTACTGTTCTCATTGATTATCTTAAATTTAGCTTGAAGACTTGCTTCTGTGCTGGCTGCCTCTCCAGGCAAATGACAGTTGTGAATACACAGATTTAAAATTTGTGAAAACAATCACTGCTTGCCTTAAACCCAATCTTGTGGCCGGTAGGTGAATCTGTGTCACAGAAACATTGTTTTAAGTACTGAGAGAGTGACTTGACTGTATTTTTAAATAAAGATGAACTCGCAGACACATTTTGCTGATTTGTATCTTTTTGCTACATAGTCACAATGTTTTCCAAACTATTATCTGTACCCCTTGTATACTGCATTTTTGGGGCTCACATTTTTAGAACTGTGTTTAATTTTATCACTGGTTTTCATAATTGTTCTTACTATCGTTGGTGACATGTTAAGCTTATATTACAGATTAATATATATTTTGTTTTACCTTAACTAAAAACCTGTCAGTTTTTAAGTACTGTATTCTATCATAGATTTCATTTACCACAAGGTTGAATGAGAAAGACATGAGTCATATGCAATAGGAAGTTCTGGGAATCTGAACAGTATTTTCTGCATTTCAGTATGTTTGTAGAATATAAGAAAAATAAAAATATGGAAAATTATGTTATGGTATGTACTGTTTGGATCCCAGCTGTAAAACCCCAGAAGGAGTATTGAAGTGGTAATAGTGTGCGATGAGAGGATGTCATGAACAAAGAGAAGGAAATGTGTGCACTATAGAGAACAAAAGTATTGACCAAGAAACTCAGTTTTAGGCATGAATTGGACTCTTATATACTAAATTATTAGTAGAATTGTCTCTTCATCTGTTCGCGTCTCTGAAACTACACGACTTTCTGTAGATTCCATCTGTCCTCAGTGAAGATTTTGTGATTTTTCTTAGTCCAGTCAAAAACATTTTGGGATAATTTTTAAAATTGACTAACTGCACTTTCCTTGAAATTATCTTTTATCAACTGTGTCCGTGCATCACACTAGTTTACCTTTAAACGGTTAAGTTTAAAGGTGAAGTCTCGCTGGCAGGCGTGTAGTGTAAGGGTTTAAATCTACTGTTCCCAAATGATAAAAGTTAATTTTTTGTGGTAATTGTAATTTTTGGCATCATATAGCCTGTGCTTTTCAACAGATATTGTTAAGTAAGTCAAAGCTTAATCATCCAATTTAGCAATCAGTTGATAATAGGCTCATTTGATAGGTTAGTGCTTATTTCTGTCACAAGAAAACAGCACAAGGTTGAGGACATGAAAAGATAACATTTTATCCTTTTAACAAGTCATTGCTCCTAAAATAATACCCATTTCTGATTACTTGCCAAAAATGAACAGTAATATAGTGTTCTGTTTTAGATTGGCATTGTGAGTAATATGTTTTTACAGTGAGTTTTTTTATGGTCTCAGGAAGACGAATTATCAAGTTTACAACCTTGATGTTGGATAAATATAAATTTTTGGCAGAGGTTGAAAGCATTTGGCGATAGGTTTGTTTGATCATTAATATTTTAACATGATCTGAATTGAGATGAATGTAAGTCAGGTTTTTTGTATCTATAATAATATGTAATGTCTTAGTATGAAAGGACCAGGCATTTAAATAATTCACTGTTTAGGCAGGTATGTAAAGTCAATTTAGAATCTGTTAGTATATAATTTTTATTTTATAGATTGTAAATGGTTTGAATTTCTTTTTAATATTGCATTAGGTTCATTCCATGGCTGCCCTGTCTAGGAAACTCACTGTATCTACAGCATATGAGCACTGTATTTGCAGAGAAATAAAGTTACAGAGAAATGATTTTGAAACTTTGTGAACTCTAAAACTGAGCGCATCTTTCCACTTTTGTTAGTTTCTGTAAAATGTTGATCTGTCACTGTCAAAATGTCATATGTGAAACAAGCACTATACAGACTAAAATTGTCCTGAAGAGCACATTTCTATCCAATCAAGCTAACACACACTGTACCTCATCTATTTAGAGAATGAAGCAAGATAAACATTTTTCTCCATCCTTTTTTTCATGAAACTATCTTATTAAGTATGTTTGCAACTGTATGGATCGTTGCTAAAGTTGCTTTGTCCATCTGTCTGTACACAAGAAACAAGTGTAGAATGGATTAACTTATTTTGAATAAATTAAATCTTGAAGAATTTTATGAAAAGCCGTCAGAGCCATTTTACGTTTTATTTAGATTGGACAGCTTTATGTCACTTTTCATGACAGCATAAGATTGAGTTTTGATTGCACCGAAATGTATTTGTTTCATTCAATTAATTTACTGTTCTGGTAAGTGGAAATTTAAAGTGTATATTAAAAAAGTTATAGGTATGTGTAATTTTGTGTGTGTGTATATGGTAACAGTGAACAGCAGACAGTGAAACCCTAGTATTGATTATTTATTAGATTTCTACCAATCTGAAAAAGTATCAGCTAACAGTGAATAGGTGCATGTGAACTAATGTTTTTACTATAAGTGATGAGTTTATTGTTTTTTAATTATCATCCACAAGGAAGAAGACATGATGGTCGTTCTCAGAAATGGCAAGTTGAAGCCAGAATAGGATTATGGCAGATGAAGAAGAATTCATTGCAGTGTTAATTGTTCTGTTTACTAAATAGCTTCACTTTATGGTCATCAAAAAGTGAACAAATTTATGTTGGTTTAATTTTGTGTACTGACATTTGTTTTCCTTCTGTCAAGTGTACCTGTTTAGTGTGTACTGTATACTTTTACAGTCTTATTTAGTTTTTGCATGCATGTTTACAAGACCTGTATGAAGATCTACAAAATTCAACATTATGTTAACAAGGAGTGTACTCATCTACCATGGTTCAATACATCCTCTGGAATTAAGTGGTGGAAAGAGCTGCTACATGCATAGTGCTAGTGTTTGCAGTAAAGGTATAGGATACCATTTAGCCAATGAGAGTCTTTCTCGCCAACTATGGGGATAGAAATTCTCTCCAGAATTACTTTCCTGAAGTTTTTATGTTTGTTATGTACTATTTGCTACCTTTACTTTTTACTATGGTACTTTATCAGGCATGTTTTAATTTTGTATCGAATAGTTTGAAGAGATGATGGACCGTTTGGAAAAAGGCAGTGGGCAGACAGTAGTCACTCTGCAGGAAGCCAAATCTCTCTTGAAGGAAGATGATGATTTGATCATTGCTGTATATGACTACTGGCTTAACAAGAGGCTGAAAACTGTAAGTTTCTTTATTGAAATGAGATTTGTCTAAAAGTAGCTAATGTTTAAATTGATTAAACATTATAGAATAACTGAGTTCTGAAGCTTTTATGGCAGTGAAGATGTTGATGTTGATTTTCTGGGTCATAATGCCATAGCATTACAACCCAAAAGATCTACATAGACATTGCAAAGTATTTGCTATGATGTGGTTACACTGAATGGATCTGCTGGGTTTTTTTACTCCTTTTTGTGTTAACATTTTAGCAACATCCTCTGATTCCTACTGTTAAAACGGAGCATCGGTTGGGATCAGCTGCAAATAATCCTTACCTTGCATTCCGCCGTCGTACTGAAAAGATGCAGACTCGTAAGAATCGCAAAAATGATGAGACATCTTATGAGAAGATGTTAAAACTACGACGGGACCTGAGTCGAGCTGTTACACTTCTTGAGCTTGTAAAACGAAGAGAGAAGACTAAACGTGAACATCTCCACCTCACAGTAGAGATCTATGAAAAGAGGTAAGCTGTAGCATATTTAATAATTGCATTTACATAATGGTAAATTTAAGTCCTCCAGCTTTCTCTGTTTATCATTTTTTACTAATAAGAATATTTTGCTAGTAGTGTGTTTATCAGTAGGAATATTTTAAGTTTAAATGACTTTTAAGTAGCTGAGCAAATTATTGAATACTACAGACTAATATTGTTAGTCATTTCTGTATGCATTGTCTGGTAGAAGGGCTAATTTTATTATTATAAGAGGCCATGTATATCATACATTGTATTTAGTCATGTTCTTTGAGAAATTAAAATTCAACAGAAACATCTGTGATTTCTCATTATGAAGCCTGGTATCAGAAATTGGTTTTGGTTTGAAGGCTGCAGAAGGTGACATTATCAAATGTTAGAACTGCTTATTTGTATTGCATTACAGAACACAATTTTACTTTCAGTTGTGATTTTTACGTTGATAGGTTCAGGCAGAAGAAACATATGGTCTCTGTAACCAGCTAGAAGATTCAAGTCCATTAACAGATGTTTGCATTTGACTGACTTGAATCAATTAGGTCTAGTTTTTTTCATCACAATTCTCTTTAAAATATTGTATATTTCAATATTGAAGATCGCCT